ATCCGACTTCATCTCAGGTCATGATCTCACGGTTCATGAGTTCGAGCCACACGTCACGCTCTGTGCTGACAGCTTGGACCCTGGATCCTGTTTTGGATTCTGTGTCTCCTTCTCTCTCTGCTGCTCCCACGCTCATGCTTTGTCTCTCTCTCTCTCTCAAAAATAAATAAACATTTTTTTAAAAATTTAAAAACTAAATCCCTTTCTCTGGTAAAAACCTAACTCACATCAGTGGTTAAGACAGCAAAAGGAGGGCTCTGTAGTCACTGCATGGGTTTGGATCTTACTTAATCATTCTGTGCCTCAGTTTCCTCATCTGTAAAATAGCAAAATATTGGAACCTCCCTTATGTGATGTTCTAGTAGCGAAGTCATCTGAAGCCAGTCTTTACCCTCTATGCTCCCCTAAGGTAAATCTATGCAGCCTGTGCTATGTTTCACTTACATAAATTTGAAATGGTTTTAAGGAAAGTCCATGTGTGAATTCAAAGACCACTGTCAAAAACATTGAGATGAGCAGGAGTCATGGCTTTCAAAATGCTCAGACTGCCAACTCTAGGCTCAGAAGTTACAAACGAGTGGTGGAATGAATGCAAGAAGACACCATTTACTTGCCATTGCATTGTGGCTTCAGAGCACGTGAAGAGGCCTGTGAGGAAGGCTGGCCTGAGGTTTAGTCCCAAACCAACCAGCTTGTCACTGACTTTAAACAGATTTAAGGCCACTTCTTAGTAGAAACCTGGCCTTGTTCTGAACATTTGGAAGAAAGTTTTCAAATATAACCAACCACAGTGATTCCTACACAGATGCCCATCCAAGCTACTCCAGTGACCCAGACAAAACCACAGTCACCACACCCACGTGCTCCAGAAAGTTTCCAAGGAAAAAAAAAGGTCATTACTTAGCTCTGAAAGTCTGCACCTGAAAGCAACAAATTAATTGGAAATTGGACACAGGTGCTTACACAACGGTTCAAATGCTTTCTAATTAATTTTAAAATTTTGTCTTAATTTAAAATACATAAATGTTGGTAACTATGGTAGACAGAATAATGGCCCTCAAAGATGTTCATGTCCTAACCCCCAGAACAGGTGCATATATTACCTAATTTGGCAAAACAAAGAAAAAAAAAAGACTTAACCGATGTGATATAGGGTCTTGAGATGGGAAGATGGGTTGAGGTCATCCAGGTGGGCCCAATGTAATCACAAAGATCCTTATAAGAGTGGGGCTGGAAGCGGGAAGTCAGTAGTAGGCTTGCAGATGGAAGCGGGTGTATAGGCTGGAGCGTTGCAAGGACGTAGCCATGAAGCATTCTTCCCAAGAGCTTTCAGAAGGAACCAGCCCTGCCAACATCTTGATTTTAGCCCATAGAGACTGATTTTGGACTTCTTACCTCCAAAACCGTAAGAGAATAAGTTTGTGTTGTTTTACCCCGCTAAGATTGTGGTACTGTAGCGGTGAGTCACAGACACAGAGTCGGGACATGGAGGCTTCCCCTCCCCGCACCCCCCAGGAAGCAGCTTTATTCCGTTAGCATTGCGATCAGCGGGCTAAGGCCCAAAAGGCTGAGCCCCAAGCATAGCGGGATGGGGAGGTTGCCTTTTCTACAATTTTTGTTCCGATGTCTCTCATATAAGATAACCTACAGTCTGAGTGAGCAGTCTATGTTACACAGTCATGAGCAATGTCGCCCACGCGCGCGTCGCCAGGTTACCTTCCCTTGAGGTTTCGCCACATTCCTTGGGGAGGGGCTCCACCACAGTTACTTTTGTGTAGCAGCAACAAGATAACATTTGCAGTCACATAGGTATTTCACTAATTATTCTTGAATTTTACCTAATTGCATTTTTAGTACAAAATGATTATATTGTGGGTATTCTTAAAATCATCAGTTTTCCCTACAAATAAGTATTTTATATTTTTACTTTTGCCTTGTTTTATCTTCTATTGATTTGACTGGTGACATTATCACTGTAGTGATATTATCCTTCTAGTTAGAAGGAAATAACCAGTACTTCTCCCCGTTCTTCTAAACACAGCAGCCTGGGCACATTCTGGCCAAGTTGAATTTGCTCCTTAAATTAAGCAAGCTACTGGATGCCACATGATTTTACACTTCTGATGCCAAAGCACCAGAATGGGAAATGGCCAAAAGGAAACTCTTTAACCACAAAGTAACCTATCTTCATCATCTCTCTTTAGTTTGAAGAAAAAAATCAGAGCCAAGCAAAGTCCAAATTTAGTATTCTCTCACTTGGTGCAGGACTGCTAAGGCCACCTTGTAATATGCTGGGGGGTGGGGGTGGGAAATGAACAGCAGAAAGAGAATTGGATTAAATCAGAAGACTAGGATTTGGGATCTGGCTTTAGCACTTACTAACTAAAAACCTTGACAAATCACGTAACTCTGAGTTGTTCACTTAGGAAATGAGGAGAACCAGGTGACCCAGAGTTGTTGTGAGATTCAAACTATATGATGTGGGTGAAGAGTAATATGTAAACCATAAAGTAAATAACAAGTGTTTTGGGTTTCTTACTCTAGATGTCTTTATAAAAGGCAGTCCATGCCAGTGCCCTGTGCTTACTGAAAAGCCTGATAATTGGTCGTGACTTTGGGAATCACAGGATCTAAACAAATTAGTCAGCAACCGGCCAGCACTTTGTCAACATATGGTCACAGGCAGTTACTAATCTAAGCAATGAGATTCCAGCCTAGCACAGTGCATCGGAGCAGCAAGGTCAGCCCTGTGCTGGCTCTATGTGTCACTTCTCCTCACTCTGACCACAGCTTCATCTTTTCTTCTGGGTTCATACTTTAGGAAACACCCCCACTGAAATCAGCCTGGCCCCTGAGCCTCTAGACACAAACACATCATACCACACCCTTCGACTATTCCTACCTGTGGGCAAGACCTGACAAATAATCCTTCAATTATTCCTAGCTGGTTCCTAGTGATGGGCTGTAGCCATTCTAAATGACATCTAAAGGATTTGAGTATTTTCCTTTATGTGTTTAATTTTAATGGCCTTTGAGCATTTCTAAATCTAATTATTAGAAATTTGGAAAGAGAAAACAATTGTACATGGGGCTTTGGAAGGCTGGTTTAGCAAAGGCTGCAAGCCACAGTTTGATTGTAAACATCTCTATGCTGTAACCTCATGGTCAACATCCCCCAACTCCCATCCACATCCAGGTAAAGGAAGCAATTTTGGCAGAAAGCAAACACTGGAGTCCATGTGACTTTGGGAAAGGCATGGATCTCCATAATGAGAAAAATTAGTTCTAGTCAAAACTTAGCATGCACCTGGGATAAAAGGTGGAGGCCCCCTCCAGAGTCCTCTACTCTGCCCACTCATAGGATCTAATGCAGCACATTTAGTAAGAATCCTATCTTCTAAAGGGTTAAGAGAAACATTTGCTTAAGGTCTGAGACCAACCAAAGCACAAACCCAGAAGAAACCAGGCAAAGGTACAAAAGGATCTTGATCCCTAAAGTTAAAGCTGAGTGTGCTAAGCAAATTCAGTTGGAAATCTGACTGAAGTTAGATGGCTAGATTCAGAAAGTAAATCAAGTGACATTAATCCAGGAGATTCTAGAACCCCACAGACTAATTTATGTTCATAGTTTTGTTTTGTTTTTTAACTTATTCCAATGGCAAAAGAGAAAGAAATCCTTTGAAGGTGGTAGAATTACAAAATGGATTCATTCATTCAACATAGATTTACTGAGTACGAACAAAACATAAGTAAATTATAGAAAGCATTGCAAGCAGGCCAGTAGGGAAGTTATTTTAGATGAAGGGTAAGATTAAGCATGCATCATTTTTATAAAAACAATGAAATCCTTATTCTTTGGGGGGGAAAACCTTAAATATATATATACATAAATAGGCACATACTATGATTAGGAAATTATATTTTATGTTTTCCAAAGTTTTGTGGGAAATTAACTTATTCTTTAAATACTAAGAGAAAGAGAGAGGTTGCAAAGACAGGTAGATACAGAGAAAGAGAATAAGCTGTGGACTGAGAAGGATACAGAAGAGATAAGAATTACATTGAACTTTTTAGATAGGAACAACTTTTCAAAGAAGAAAGCTCTAGTCAGAAAAGGGCAGTGATATTTAGGAGTAAAGGTCCAGAGGCAAGACCAAGATGCAATTAGTAAGTGAAATGGTTCAGCCAAGACAACCCTGTACCAGTGGACATGTATGGGCTCAAACGAAGACCTGACAGAATACAGTTAGGCCAAGTTGAAGAGACATTTAACATCCATGTTAAGGAGCTTAGGAACTGAACTGAAATGGGGACTCTGAGGTTGACCTTTACAAGCTCCCACCCCAACTCTACTTCCAGAAATGTTTGGATTTTAGATAGATGTCCCTGCCCCCTCCCCCACCACTATCACTGGGGTATTGACTTCCCGCAGACAGACAACTTTTGTTTCCAAGAAGAAAAGCCACCCCAGTGCACCTCCAACCTTAATCTGGCCTTCATCTTTGGTATCTGATATTATCAGTGAGAAAACAAGATCTCTTGAAAGCAGCAGGCAAACAGAAAAAGCTTTCACACTAAAGTGGGCAACAAATTTCAACCTAAGCAGGGAAGACTTTCTGGTGTCCCTGAGGGTGTCTCAGCAGTTATAAACACTGCTCTAACCTACACCTTCTTATGTAAATAGTAGAATAATCAAGAAAATGGACAGAAGAAAAAAGCTTACTGAAACATGAGCTTCTCAAGAGCAGGAACCTTGTTTTATTCACCTTTGACTGGTCAGAATACCTGGCATATAGCAGATCAGGAGATGTTCGTTGATAAACGAATGAATGGATTTCATGGAGCCAAACATCTAGATAATTAAGTTTGCCAAAACATACACATTCTCCAAGTACCCTCAGGCATGCTTCTAAATCAATCAAATCCATGGGGAAATTGTAATCTTCCCTGCTGTGAGTATGGGAACAATCCATGTTCTTAACTTTCTTCAGCAAACTCACCATCTTGAGTGTTTGCACTCAGAACTTGGGTTTGAAGCTCCTGCAGGCTAATTCCCAGACACCTGCAGACCTCCTCAGGGCTATAGGGTTCAGGGTGAAGGGCGTCTTCCATGATCCCCAGCATTTCTTCCAGACTGACCCCTAGTTTGGCCTGCACCTCCTCTAGCCGCAATATTTTATTCCATTGCAAGCCTTTGTACTTGGCCAGGAGCTGTAAGTTCAAATCAAGATAATGGTTAGCTTTCATTTCAGAAATTGATAGGTGCTCTTTTAATTAGCCAGATTCAACGTTAAGCTTTTTTTTTTTTTTTTCCATCCAACCTATCCACATTTCCCATCATTGCTTGAAAATGCACACTGGGTTCAGATGTTTGGAATTAAACATGCTTGTGTGACACTCACAGGCTAGTTATTTTTCCTTAAAAATCCTAATATCCTACTATTTTTTTTTTTTTTTGCCTGTTACCACTTTCCCTCCGGGCTATTTCTTTGAATGATTTTGTTCTTTTATCCCTATTCAGTTCAGCCCTAATACACCACTCTCTATAAAGTCTACAGAAAACTACTCAATTCTCATGTGACCTAGGTCCTGAGGTGGACACTGTATGCCCGATTTCATTAGAGTACTTCCTGTTTACCACAGGCCTCTTTGAAAATGGCTAATGAATTTAAGTGTCTGGGCATTTGGAGTAAAGTCCCAGATTTTAAATGAAAACCTCATTGGTGACCTTATGAAAAACCACTTTGTTAGGTCACTGGTAGAACTAGAGCTGTATGCTTCTCCACCCTCAAGAGAAGAGCTTGGCTTCCAAATGCATCCTGAGGCATCCCACATTCTGATGGAAAGGGTGAAGTACAAACCAAACCTTTGTAACCAGGTCCACTTATGGGAAACTTAATCCAAAATATGTTTCTCTCTTTCTCTCCAAACTACTGGCAGCCCTTCAAAACAGGGAACAATCAAAAGAGCGAAGATATCTCTCATCCTGAGGTCTATAAAATTCATTCCCTGAGTGTGAGGCAGGTGCAGACAATACAAATAGCAAAAAGAAGCAAGCAAACGAAGGGGAAACTAGTCTTCAAGGAAATGTGCATCTCATTTACTCTTCTATTATGCTGATGATTTGATTTTCTTTCTTTAAGACCAGGAGCAGTGTTTACCAAAAGACCATTGAACTTTGGTTAGGGCCACTCACGTCCGAAGAATGTTAATAACAGAAGTTCTTATATTCATTAGTTCTCTTTTTAAAACTCTGGCTCATACATTGAAAGGAGTTAATGATTTTAAGGAAGAACTGGAAAAAGAAAAAATTCTATTTTTCTGTTCAATTATTTCACAGAACATGGTACTGTTTCTAAAGCAAGGACTGAAGCTAAGTAGGACCTTTCCTTCTGACTTTGCTTAGAACATTCCGCTAGCATTTAAGCAGTGCTAGATTTGATACCTCCACAGATTCACTTTTATTTAATTCATTCATCCATGGCCTATATTCCAGGGTATTCCCAAAATTGCTTGAGAAAACTTACAAAGACCTACATAAAACAATATATTTTATACAGAAAAAGAGCTGAAGTTGATAATCTCCTAGAATGATACTTCCTTGAAACCAAGATCCAAACCCAGCCAAACTAAGCAATGAAGCAAACAGAAGTAATGAATACCTGTATATGATTTAAAATTGCTTTTGTTTCTTTTAATCTTCAACAGCCTGGTGAGATGGGTATTATGTATTTAACAGGTGAGACTAAATGACTTGTCCAAAGTCATCTAACTAGTAAGAAACAGAACTGGAAGTTAAACCCTGATCCTCTTTCTTGCTTCCTCAAGGCCACATGCTAAGTGAGTCACAGCCGATATCTATACAGTTCTCCCACTAATTCAAATTGCCATTCGAGCCCTACAAATGCATTTCTAAGCACAAACTAAGATTTGTGTTAGAAATGAACATTCCAGTGATTTAAAAACACTTTGATAGATGGGTTCCATCTAGAGGTTAAAAAAAAAAAAAAGGGCAAAAGGAAACAAAGTACGGCCCCGAAAGATGACTGTGGACTCTTCCTAAGGACCTTTTAGTCAACAACAATCAATCTTCAAGTTTCCATCCTGGGCTCTCTTGAACAAGTCACATTGCCTCAGGCGCTTGATCCAAGGAAACCAGGCCAGGGATGTGTGAGGAGAAAGTCTGGGAGGGAGCCTGCTGCCTACAAGGTTGTTTTTCAAAGGCAGCCTCTGTGTGTGCTTTTCTTCCACAGACAGAGGCCTTAGCATACAAAAGTTCACATTCACTCCAGCAATATCCCAGTTTGCTGTTGGGTCCACATAGCCAATTTGATATGTATTTCAATTAACGACAGCTGCACGGCCATGAGCCACGGAACAGCGCGCTTCATTGTGGGAGTAAAATAGGAAAGCTGTTTAAGCCCTTGGAAACCTGGCTCAGGAAACAGAAAGATGACTTGCAGATGAGGGAAGGGGGTGGGTAAGATCACTGTCGTTCAAAGACCAGAACTTCATGAAGGAATTTGCCACTTGAGGCCCTGGTGATTGGCCCACTTCACAGTTGTGAGGCAGGGCTATGAGTCAGGGCCATGGGTCATTTCATCACAAGTTTCCCACTTGTAGCAGGGTGGGGAAATCAGAGAAAGCAGTTCTTTGTCAACATCCAGCACTTTCTTTGCACCACTGCAACCATTAAGTCTTTGTATCAGATACCACTTCTGGGAGGCTCCTGAGCTTGTTCCATGCTTGGTGGGCAAGCAAGCAGGCAACAGGTGTTCTGCGCATAGTCACGGAAAGAAGCACGTAAATAGTGCTAGGATCCTGTCTCGAGTTGGTGTCTCTCAGAAAGCAGACCCTATGGCAAGTGTTTAGACGAAAGAATGATTCCAAGATGCTGGTAGAGAAGTAAAAAGTGAGACAGGAACAGAAGCCAGTGCAAGGTGCTCTGTATGGACACGTGAGGCCAGGCCAGGCCCAGCAGGCCCTCTGGAGCCTGTGTGTAAAAACCTCAGATGTGCCCTGCCCGTGGGCAAGAAAGCTGGGATATTTACCCACTAACTGACATGCATCATTGGTTGAGGGCTGCTTGCAAGCTACTTGTCTAGCCCTTCCAGATTGTGTCAGGTGCAGACTCAAAGCTCTGCTACAGCCAGGAAAAGCCCTCAGTCCAAGAGAGTTGCTGGAGCTTGTTGTCAGAGGGTGTGCTAGGAGAGTGGTAACATATGGACCCTGTTGCAGGAGCCTGACAGTCAGAATCCACCTCTCCTTGACTTTCCCCTTGCATTCAGCAGTATTAACAAACCAGTGGGAAAAGCACCAAGTCTTCTCTTCACCTGGTCAGCAAAAGGCTAGAATTTCTAATCTCTTCTCTGAATTACCTCTGAAAACAACAATTCATTCAACAGACCGTCTTCTATACAACAAAAGCAGCTGTGTTGATTTGTTTCAGGTTATGTGAATCACACATGCTTATTTTTAAAATTTCAAAGAGCACAGAGCAATTCAAAGTACAAAAAAAATGCAAAGTAAAATAAATCGTCTGTAATTACCCCCACAAGACAACTACCAACCACCATTTTGATAGTCATACTCTCATATATTTCTACAAATGTCATGGATACCTACACACATATAGCTCGACATAAATGGGATCCCCTTTTCCCCCTTCCAACTACACAAAGCTGTTTTCCAGTATTCTATAGTGGCTGGTGACTTCCATGTGTATCGCACTCATAATCGTCACGAACACAGAACCACAATGACCCTCCACGGTGTTGGTGATCCACGCCGCCTGTGCTCCAGAGCAGTTTGCAGGCCACAGGATAAATCCAAAGAAACCTGCACAACTGTGCAGAACGGATCCACCACAATTCTCACTACACCCTTAGCACATCCTGCCTTTTTTAGAAAAAAAGCATCCCCACACATGCTCTGGATCCCATGCGTGCCTAACTCCTAAAGGGCACAATGGGAAGAGCAGGGGTGAGGACAGACCTGGACACCTGTGCTTATTTAAAACAGGTCACAACCTACCTTGGCCCCAAACTCCCAGTATGTAACATGGCACACTTGAGGTATACTTCACAAGCTACTGTGAAGATTAAGGTAACACCAAAAACACCTAGCACCCTGCCTACCACAGGAAGGCACTTAGGGTTTCCTTCCCTCCCTACATTCCCCTGCCTCTCTATCTAGCTAGTTCTGCCCACCTGACACCTCCTCCCATGCCTTCAAACATACACAGATGTTTCCTGCCTTAAAATAATTATTCCTAAAGCTACTGCTCTTCATTTCTCCCACTCTTCTGCTGTCTACCAGTGGCCCATTCCAGACTCCAGCTAAGGAATGTGGCCTCCCAAAGGTCTTTCCTTACCTCCCGAACCACTCCCACAGCCACTGGAGTTTTCTCCATCTTTTTAAGAAGTCTTTAATAAGTCAGTGGATTCTGGCACTCCAGTCCCTACCTTCTTCAAATTCCCTGTTTTGTTGATTTCTGTAGCACTGAATTTTCCTAGTTTCTCACCTCTCTGGTCCCTGCACCATCTCCTTCCACAACTCATTTTTCCCCTTTCATCACCTCATTGAAGTCACCTTCCAAGTTTAACCCCTGACCTTCTGACATTTTCTAGCCATACTCTTTCCCTCAGCAAACTGAACTTAGCTCCTGGTTTCAACTGTTCTTTCCAAACAAATGCATCTCGAGGCTCTCCCCCTAGCCAAGAGTTATATTCCACACTCAGATTTCTAACCACTTACAAGGAAATTCCATGGCAAGTTTCACCACCTGTCGCTTTCCAGTCACCTTCCATCTACCCTTCTCCAAACCCACCCACCAGTGGCAGAGCTAGGCTTTCCAACCCATCGTTTCAGCTTCAAGCTGCAGTCCTTATCAGCCCAACACTTTTTCCTTCATTCATGCCTGCTTGTGTACAAGGAGCACTTGTTGAGTGCCCACCACTCCCCAGGTCCTAGATGCACAACAGTGTTTATTCACAGGCACACACGGCACCTGACCACAGGGAGCCCTCAGTCTACCAGAGAAGACATGTGTTAAATAAGAATTGCACAGTGAATCACTTCATCTAACAGCCATACACTGCGATAATGGGAATGTGCAGGATGTGGTAAGAGGTCATTTAACACATAAAAAGACATTTGACATACCAGGAGTGGGGAGGGTAGTCAGGGGAAATATGTCAAAAGAAAACAGA